GAAAATTATTTTGTGCTTCGACAACAACAACAGTTACATATGTATATATTTCTTTGGCGTAGATTGCATGCACAGTTTTTATATTAATTAAAAATTGTACACGATTTAAATTAATAATTTAGATTCACATTTATTTCACTTCTACTGCTAAATATTCACCGTATTTTCACATTTGCTTGTTTCATGTGAAGGTCGTATATATGCTTCTCCACTCGCGAACAGTGAGTGCCATCATTTTACGAGGCAATATATTTTTCATAAATCTATTCGCAATGTGCGAAGCAACGCATGTTTTTAGATAAGAGAGAGAGAAAGAGAGTAAAAACATCGGGAGGATGTTCCCACAGGAGCGAGGCATTTTATAAGGGTCGATCTTTTATTACCCGACCGGGAAACAATGGGTGATTACGTATGCATAGGTTATATTACTAGTTTATCGATTTTTAGACAAAATCGGACACGTGTTCGCTGAATACACTCCAGTTTGACGCTCTGTTATACGCTGCGCGAACACCTGTAGATTCCGGCATATTGCAAGCCGAATGAGCCGCGCTTATGCAATCGCATTGTTTTTACTATGCATGTGGAGGAAAATCCTCTGTTTTTGTGCACGCGCAGCGATTCGCGTTCAAGCAGATATAATCGTATCATCGCTTCGTCGTCCAACTTCTGTTAAAGCGCTACAAAATTTCGTGCATATTTATATGAAATATATTTATAAATTAATAAATTGCAGATGTAGCGCGATATTTATAAATGTGTATCTTCTATAGCGCGGTCCATTAGTTGATAAACCGGCGGGAATTTTTTTAAAATATGGTATGATCTTTGGTATATAAAGAAGAGCTTGAGTATTTTTTTTTTCATTACATTTGTCGAGCCAAACCAATAGATTACAGCTTAGAGGTACGCGACAGTAGTTCCGAGAATCGAATAGTTGCACCGACCTGCTTCGCTCGGAAAAACTATGATTTGACGCTTTCCTTTCGCTAGAAATTTTTTCTCATCAAGGCTTATTTCGCTGAAATTTCTGTAAGTAGTCAAGAAGAAGAAAATATGCTTTTTTGCAGATTAAGCAAGATCTACCTTCTAATTTTCACGTAATAAGCGAATCTCGTTTCTGAGAAATAAAATTCTGGTCAAACACCGTTTTGATTCGGTGACCGTGAACAGTTTTACTTTGTAACTGTAAGTACAAATCCAAATTAGACATTTCTTTAAATATCTCTGCAACTCGATTTTTAGAATCAGATATTCGGATTTAAATAAAATATCTCTCAGATTTAAATAAAATTTTCCACTGTCAGTTTCAAACGCGTACAGATCGAACGCCGTGATTGTTACTTTGAATTTGTTGTTTCATTCATGGATTATTAATGTATTCTAACCATGCATTCAGTATTTTCTATTATCGTCCCCATCTTTTTTTTTAAGTTTTATGCGGATTTGTGCGCAATATCCATACGGGAAACGGTGGCGATTAAAGATAATCGGTTTGGTTAGTGGATTGTATAAACGTTAAGAACGAAAAGACGATTATTCGTTATTGGGACTCGCCTCGAAAGGCAGACTTTGTGGAGAAAGGAAACACAGTTGAGAGGGAAAACCCTTCGATCGATATTGCAATTACAGCTTGTGGTCCACGGGGTAATAGAGCAGCTTTACATCGCGGATAAATATTTGCTGCGGTAAATAAACAAGTAACATTTGCTCAGTGCGTTTATTTGATTCGGAAGGAAAAGGACGCGAATTAAGTGCAAAGAGGAAAACAGTAAGAGAGATGAGTTTTCGGGTGATATATTGTCGAAAGTCATTTTGCGATTGGACGCGGATGATATCGGAGCAACTATCGAGCAGCATTGGTTACTTTCGTTTCTTCATGACTTTTCACGATGTCAGTATCCCAAAAAAAATAACGCTACAAGGATTTTATGAGAAAATATATTAAGTTGGAGCATCTTGTTGTCGAGAATCAGGAAGTTTTGCAGAAACGGCGCAAAAGATTATAGGTTTTAACGAATTAATTTTTAACAATAGAAAAACTTTAATTGTTATGGCTTTTTCACGATGTCAATGTCTTAAAACTCAAGAATGAGCAAAGGTTTATGAAAAAGATCTTAAAAGAAATTTTTTTCTTGAAAGAAAAGAACAGATTTTAATTAATCTTGCAACGCGTCTCATAAAAAGTTGGTTCTTTCTCAAAAAAAGTTTGATAAAACGTAGTGCCGAATATAGGGAGACTATTTGTCGATCCCCGTGCGTCAGTAATTGGCATTTTAAAAAAACTGCGTTTGTCGAAGAGCATCATATTTCTGTCGTCAATGGGAGAGTGGTGTTCTAATCGATATCCGTGACCTTCGCAAAAAACTGTCTCCATTGAGTGAAAGTTCAAAGCGTGTGTCGGGTTTACTGCCGATGGCAACTAATGCTAACACACGCGAAAAGTTGCGATGACTCAAAAATTGCATTACTACCACAAATCCCAACGGAAGTAGAATTTTATATCGAGTTTGTCGTTATATATAACATTTTCATTTTCTGTGCGCTCAATCACAGTCACTTCACTCGCAGTATGTAATTTTAGCACATCGCATAGTTTTTATACCACCCATTTGTTCCGGGATCGATATTTATATTTTAAAATTTATATTGCTAAAAATTTGTCGAATAAATTCTGTAAGGCTGTATAGTTATGCTTCTCTAGAAACAACGTGAAGTTTGTATCCCTGGTTTAATAAATGTGGAGACTTGCAACATTGAAAGGGTTAACATGGTTATTGATTGGATATTGAATGAAATTTTATTATGATGAAAATGTTATATCGTATTGTAATGGAATTTTATTGTATATTCAATAAGAGCTTCGTGGATTTTAATGCTATTTGGAACGTTGAATGAATGTTGAGTTATATGTTTTGAATTACATTGAATTCTGCAGTACTTGGCAGAAGCAAAAGGAAATACAAAAGTCTGGTTAATGAGAAGATTTTCTTTTTTTACAATTCCACTTGTTAGTTTTATCTAAAAGCCACTTTAAAGAATTTTTCAATTTGCTATAGATATTGATTTGATATTCTAGGAACTATTTATAATTTTATTTATTGGTGAGTTAGAAAACATTTGATGAATTAGAATATTCTATGTGTATATATCTACACATATCAATGATACATATAGCACATAGAATAAATAAGTATTATGTTTCGTATATATTACATTGCAAACGTATTAGTCTTGGATTATAAGATCGCTGTTCAGGAATGGCTGATATTTTCTGACAGCGCATGCACTTATTTATTTTCAATGGACTGTTTTATAAATCTTGCTGTTGGTTCGTTGAGCAAAGCGAGATAACTAGCGAGCGAGATAAAATATTAGAGAAACTGTCTCTTATAGTCTCATAGAAGATATTTCAGCTTTCTTCCTTAAAACAATATTGCATTACTGTAGATTTCTATCTTGAACTCTTTGATATTGACTCCAATTACAGTTTTAAATGGATTTAATATAAATCGGGGACTGTATATATTCTCTTTCTCACTAGTCGAAAAATGCGATAATGAAGTCGCTTTCCTACAGCTACGAGGCTGTTCATTAATTAGGCAATTTGCTCGGAAACCATCGACTATTCCGGCGTGCAGTAATCGTCTTCCCAATTATTCCTACGCGCAACGTTATGTGCATATCCGCGTTACAGTTTCAAATAACAAGCCAATACGTATATGTAACGTTATCGACTAACTGAAATGTCAAATTCCATATGTCCAAATGTCGACATATGACGGTGTAAAACAAATACATGGAAATAAGATGTGATTTATGTGACACAATTTATGCTTGTCACATATAATTATGAAATATTATTTTGCGTTCTGTACGGTCATATCTTTTTGTTTTAATTTTATTTACGGGTGTACATTTTTGTGATTTGTATTTTTTGGGTCTTGTTAACTTTTTCATACATTTAATAATTAATTAAATTTAAATATTTAATTACAATTTGTGATTTATCACTGCAACATAATTTGGAGAATCGTTCTGCTAGAAATAAATGATTTTATGATTAATTAGTGACATTTTGATTTGCAATAGCACATTTTATTCTGAGAGAGATTTAGGTATTATAGATTTTGCAAATAATTTCAGCAAAGGATCAATCAACTTTATCAATACTTTATTTCGCTATATTTTTAATCTTTTTAAACTGTTAAGAACTTAGAAAAAGGAAGATTTTCATACCGTGAAAATTTTCCATTCTACCTCGGGCCGTTTTGATACAATTTGGCAAATGTGCACAAATTACGGGAAGGTATGCCATGTATTCAGTTTAGCATTTCGTACCTTGCCCTTCTAGGAGAAAATATCTGGATCACGGTCAACAGGTATTACGCACCGGTTGAGAGTAGATATTAGCTTACCCTTAGCTACTCGGTGCAGAGTAATATTCGTAATTCGATTAAGCGTTTCGATCTTATTAGAAACGTTTGTCTTTGTATCGGATAATTACATTTTATAGTACAGTAGACACACCCGACGCCTGTTCACGACGCTATTGTACGTGATTTAGTAATTATACTTCGACCCACATGCGATCAACGAAAATTCATACAAATTTCGGTTAATTATAACCGAATTTGTGATTTAATGATATGGCTGCGGGGGAGGAGGAATATAAAATGGAAATATGAATACTGTTTCCTCAATTATATTCTCGACATATCGATGGCTTTTAAATTATAATTCATTTAAAATAAACTTTTCTGTGTACATAATTTTGTAACATTGTTCATTATTTATTATTCTGTATTGTCCATTTAATTTTAAGAGGATTTTTATGTCTTAATGCTTCAAATTTTGGTGCTCAATTATCAAAACATTGAATATTACGCAATTCGATGTAATGGTAGCCACTCTTTTTATTTTAAAGGAAAATATTTGATAATGTTATTTTTCTCGAATGCGTGTGTATGTTTCATGTTTCTTGTTTTTCTTGTTGATAGTCTGTGGGAATAGAAGTGCGGGTGACCAACGAGATCCCCGTCGTTACGACGGAAACAAATGTCGTACGAGATGCAGCACCGCCTTGGACTACCACATCGGCTCCGAGTCGGACTACCCCGCCCACCCCCACAAATCCACATTCACAATACTTATCGCCTCATGTCTTGCATGGACGGAACTCGCTTTGTTCCGCGAACGGTAATGTAATGAGATCCTTTAGTTGCCTAGTATGAAACGCATTCATAAAACACAAGCTACGTTTTTTTTCCATTAGATTTTATTTTCTGTAGATTGAGAGGGAATATAGATGGAAAAAAGACATGTATAAATATGAATTGTATTTATCGAAAAAAGTATAGATTCTCGTCTTTTATGAAAACATGCGGTGAAATTGGAAAAAGCTCTTACATTGAATCGTTTTTTTTTATTTATCTAAAAATTAAATTATAAACAAATACTTTGTAAATTGAAGTATTTTATATTTTTACCTTAGAATGATGTAAAATAAGATGCAAAATAAGTTTACATTGCAACTTGAGAAAAAATGGAAAACGTCGGAGAGCATTTACTTTTGTATATTCAACTACGCGACGGGCTTTATTGATGTTGCAATCGATTGTCTCACAATCTGTAATATCTCTATTTTACGAAGAAAAAAAAACAGATGTGTTGCAGAGACGTGTATGAGATACACGACGAGAAATTTATCATCATCACCGTTCAATCCTACGCGGTGGTAATCTCTTTAAATCGATTCTTTCTGCAAACACCTGCTTTCCAGGTGGAACGATATTATCCTCCAGGCGAAAGCAAATTACGTCACATTAGACACACGATCTCGTTTCGCAGATTTTCATCGTACTGTCCGACTGTTTCAGATTACACGCGAAGGAGACGACCTATGACACTGCGCATCGGTCCTCGTTTGAGTCTTCCGAACAGAAGCACATCGGCGCCGACCACAACCACAGACGGGGAGTGGCGTGCACTTAGGTGAGTCTAATAGAATTTCTCTCGCTGTTTCCTGTAATTTCTGTTTCCGCAACAGCGTGTCTCGATCGCGACAAAACCCGTCGTCGTGCCGAGTGCACGAACGGCAGATAACAATTGAGGTTCCATGAACATGTATCTTGGCTGCGATAAATGTTTCTATCGCATTAAATCAGATGTACAGTATATTATAATTATAATTATAATTCAGAAGTTTCTTGCACTAAACGTAGAACTTTCGCGTTTACCGTGTTTGAGGTATAATATTGCAGAACATCGCTAAGTCGATAATCGCGACTCATAGCACCGAACACTTACTTAAGCGTACTCAAAGTACGCTGTTACCAAGCTTCACAACGTTATTAAAGCGCGGTGTGTTTTTACAGTTTTCTGACTTTCTTCTGGCGTAAAGTGCCGCGCGTATAATTAACTCCTTTTGCCAATCACAAATCCATGTGGATTTACTAGAAAACGGATCCATATGTATGTTATTATTATGGTAATTTGATTGTGTGTGTCGCTGTTAACATAAATTTGCATGCTTATGGAGGTCTTGACTTTGTCACGTAGCTCATACGGATGCGGTGATCCATTGAACATCCGATTGTACAGTCTAATAATAATGGGCAAATGACTTCGTAATTCGGTTGGGCATTATATATGCGGTTAAAAAATTATATATTTAAATATATCGCGTGCTGTATCACCCGAGTAAAGGTGATACGCATTAGCGTTGTTTGCACAATTACTCTTATCATATCTTTGCTTATCATTCCAATCGTGCATTTTTTGCGCGTTTAATGCGTGGAGTGAAACGTTTAAAAGCTTAACTTTTACAAAGACTTACCGAAACTTTTATGTGAAATGAGACGATTTAATAATTTTTTACTGAATTTTGACTAGCTTTTGCATTTTAATTGATCAATTATGTTATCGCAAAGTATTCCGAAATTGTTTATCATATTGCACATCTTATGTTTGCTGCGCTACGCAGCTTCCGAATCTTTTCGCCTTATCGATGTCAGAAAGAGAAAAGTGCAAATCTATCTGTACGTGGCATTTTTAGTTAACATTGCTCCTGTTATTCTGTTCGTCGGTAATTCAGTGTGTTTTTCGCGAGTAATATACAATTGTCCAACACACTAAGCGTTTTCCCATCTGCAATTTTCATCTCGTATCGCGAGACAGTTACCGACCGTAAGGTCCATACATTTTTCCATCGATCCGCGCAAATCGATATCTTATGTACCAGACGAGCTGTTCTTGCACTAGTTTTCGCTTGTCGATATACCCATAGTTCCTCTTGTTTAGTTTTCGGATTATTCAACCAGAAATTAGTTTACACATCCTTATTTAGCAAATATATAGATCTTCTCGTATAAATAAGGATAACTCAATCTGTATTATGGCTGGCAGCTGAGATAATGAAGGAGTTTAAATTAGGGTAAGGGAGGAACCCTTATTCTGCTAGAATAGTATAGATAAGATACTTGGCTGTCAGTTATCTAGGAATGTCAAAGAAATAATGATAAGAATGAGGAAAATAGGACACAGTACAGTGAGGAATGTAACAATATGTGGCTGGATTTTGATTCAGAACATAAATGAATAAATTATGAACATTACGATTGAATGATATACTTGTTAATCAATATCATTTGCAAACTTTGTTTGCGATATAATTTTACATGAATTATAAGATTTTCGGAAAAAGCGCAAATAATAGATCGGCACATTTATGAAATTTATGAAATTTATGAAATTTATGAAATTTATGAAATTTATTAAATTTATTAAATTTAATAAATGTGCCAACCTATTATCTGCGCTAAATCAACTTTTTTTAGTAAAAAATTAAATATTGATTTAACTATTGAATTTTTTAATAATAATCAATAATGAATGTAAAATGAAATAAAATGAATATTTTTATCAAGCTGTGGTGAAAATTGTGATACGAACCAAAATAGATAAATTTTTAATAAAAGAATAAAAATAAAATATAGAATAAGATTATAAGATTATAAGGTTTTATTTTTGAAAAAATTGATTTCCAGAACTGAAAATTTAATAATGTTTTTTCCAAGCTTGGATGGCTATCTTGAATGATTTGACTTTGTGTCATACATCATCGACTTTAGTTGCTATTAAATTATGTATAAAAATACAACACGCGTTATTGGAAAAAGTTTGATATTTGATAATTTTCTCATATTTTATATTTTATCTGACATTTGATGTTTTATAACTTTTTTAGTAACTTACATTGTTTCAAATTGTTTTTTAAATACTTTGGTTGTACTTTTTTATTTATCTCTCGGACCGCTGTCAAACTGAGTTTGAAAACATGATATAAAGTTATAAAACATCATTCAAGCTTAGAAAAGTGCGAAGATATTAATTTTGCAATTTTTAAATTTAATTTTCTCCATAATAAAATCTGGTAAAAAATATATCTTATAATTTTCGTTTACTTTTATACGAGAAGTACTCTATTTCCGTTTGTATTTAGATTTTTGCCGCATTTTGTGTAACAAAATATCTCTCAAGGAAATAAAATATATATCCTGATAATTTATTAAAATTTAATATTAAATATTTCAACTTCTACGTTGTTGGGTGTTAATTTTTTTTATGTATAATACGTTATAAGAAGTTCACGATGAGCGAATTATCTAATAACCACTGCACCTGGCAGCGGAAGCCACCACTTTAAATATGATATCGTAATCTCTTTCAATATGATACAATAGATAGGGAGAAAATCGTTATATTTTTTCGTGATTATCTGGCACGTGTTGGTTTGAAATATGTTCTTTTTTAGATTTATAATACATAGCTTTTCAGGTTTAAAAATAAATAATCATATAACGCGAACCGCATTCGTCGTGAAGGAATTACCTGGTAACCTGGTGCACCAGGTAGCCAAACATTCTTAGAACTTGCGATTAATCGCATGGCACCAAGATGTCGCCGTGATCGAGGAGTCGATGACACGTCGTCGCCACTCCTCGTGGTGGTGAGCACCCTTAGGTTTTGTTGTGACCGTGACGGTCTTGCAGACGGGTCGCACCGCGCGTTTCGCTCCGCGGACCGGCTTCCTCGCGCTATTCGCGTCGAATAAACCGACGCACGCGCTCGTCGCCGATGCATCGCGTCGCGTGTGCTTTTCTATCGGGAAGCCGATAGTCGCGCGTAAACGTTGCCACGGTGCACTAACGCCTGAACGCTCGGCGTTTCAGCGACTGAAATCAAAACGCGAAATTTTTCTGGAGTATTTTTTTTTTTGCCGAGAAATATCGCGCGGAACTCAATCACGCTGGTGTATTACACACTCCGCGCTCGTCGAAAGCGCACGTTTACGTTCTTTTCGTCGTTGAATCGACGCGTGCGGACACGTCGCTATTTATTCGAGTGGTGTGACGTGAAATAAGTCAGACAGTATGCGCAACGTGCCGCGATAGTTCGTGCCGGCGGTGGAAAGAGAGTTGTAAATGTTGCGACATATATGACACGCGCGAACGTTTCGATGCTTCGAATTTGGTTTTCACCGGACGCCGATACGCCGGTGTTGCAAAGTGATTGATGTAATTTCATTGAACGAGTTACAGTTTGTGCGATACCGACTCGTTTTGGAGAATCCCGCGTGGTACTTTGGTGCAGTTTTGATTTTTTGGTGTTAAATTACGATTTTATGAGGAGATAATGAACGATATCATTCCGAACAGTTTTACTATTGGCCCGATCGTTAGACAGACAAGCAATCACGTGTAAACATTGTGCGTCTCGTCTATACCTCGATAACTTTTTCATCGGAAACTTTTCCATTTTCCAACTTTCTTATGATAGGCTATACCAAAGTCTATATTATATCTTTCTTGCTTCTGTTCAGAGCTTCTACTTTCTAAGCTTTATTCATGTAATATGAAGATCGTATTTTGTCCAGATTAACTAATGTATTTTTAGTACTGTATTTATTATTGAATGTATCGAATATATATATGATATGTATCGAGTTTGATTCATCTAATATGAAAATCACGTTCTAAATTAATATAAAATAAAAATTAGATAATTGTATTTGATACTAAATATATTACAATGGATCATTAGTTATAAATTAAAAGAATTAATTTGGAGGTAAAAATTCACCAAAAAATGTGGAACAATATTATTTGAAGAAATTAATTTTTATTTTTAAATATGATTTTAGGAAATATGTTTTAAGAAAAAGACTTGACAACAATGTCTCGAATGATTCTGCTTGTTTGTCTTGTGATTTTATCGTTGAGTTGTTGCTCTTTTTCTACGAGATAAATTCGTGAGAAAAGTTTGGCGGAAAAAGCACATGGGAAATCTTGGGAATCGGTGTCCGTTGACCTGGACCCGATGGTGCTCGAGATGACGATTGTCTCGATCAAGAGTATCGAGCTAGAGTAATACGATTTACGCGAGAAATTGAGATAAACGTCGAAGATTCCTGCACGAAGTTTTCTCCTGCAAATTATGGAATATGATTGTGCCTCTGTGCCTGGCAGTTGGAAATAATTTCGTTGCTAAATACAGTACTAACTGCGTTCGCGAAGTTTCATCATGCTGAATTATTTGATTATTACAAATGATTTGCTTCGAGTCGCGCGATATGTTTTATTTGACATACAAAATGATTTTCTCGCGAATAAGAATTATATAAAAAGAGCAGTAATGTCGAGCAGAAGTGGAAAAAGTTATCGCGGTAGACGACCGCGCGAGTGAAATAAATCGAAGTGAGGCACGCTAAAAGTATCATTGCCCCATTTTGCGAAAATACCGAAAAGTAATCGCAGAATTGTACTTTTAGAAGCAGTGCTCGTCTTGTAAAATCAGCGTGGCAAGCAAGTTACTTTTGTCGCAAGCTAAACCGATCGTAAATGATCTCGTTATATAAACGGGATATGATTTCCGGACATTGAAGTGCGAAGTCCGATTGTTTCCTTCACGGAAGCACGCAGTGCGTAGAAAGCGAATCGAGTATGGGACAAAGAGAAGAAATCCAATTTGTGTAATTGCACCATTTCCAGAAATGGATTTCCGCGTAAATGCGGGCCGGAAGAGCATTGTATGTATTATAAGTAGAAATGGACAAAGCATCTAGTTAGGATCTGGTGCGATACCCGGCACGATGCGACGACTGTACTTTTTGGAGCGTGAATTGTCATTACTTTGGAAATTTGTAACGACTATTTTGAACTATTACTCCCGCTTTCAAAATGTCATATTTGTAATATAATAGATTTCTGCTCAATGTAGCTGTGGTTTAATTTTCTTTTTGGCAAATTTTTTTTAAATTTGTATTTTTGCATTTAGGAAAAAATAAAAGAGGTAAAAAAGCAATTTCTTGCATGATAAGCCTAACCGAAGCAATCGAAGCCTAACTGCCTCGAGGCATGAAAGCGTACAAATTAACACGGTCTTTGAGAGAGAAATCCCTATCTCTATTATTTCTGACATTTTATTAATGGGAAGTTGTACTTCACGTCGGCGATCGTTATTGTTTTTCCCCCCTCTTTAGGAACGAGGGCAACGAAATCGGTCTTGACATATTTTAAGAGTCCAAAACTGTAACAGAACATTTTATTGTTTTTGAATTTTTGTTTTTCGAATATCGATGTATTATTTTAAATAACATTGCTATTCTTCACCTGATCTTTTTCTTTAATTTTTCAATTTTTCTAAGAGAAATATCGAAGCTTTCTGATCAGAAATTAACATATAAACAAGATAAAGTTACTCAATAATTAAAAAGTTGAAAACTTACCTTGTTAACGAAGTCGCGTTGTGGAATCTGAATTTATTGGACTGTCTTCAGATAATTTCTTACGGCATTTTTAGTCATATCGAGAAAGATCTAGCCGAAAGGTTACTTTGTATAAAATTGCCTTTAAGAGATCGAGTACAGCACAATCAGAGCTAAGTAATTTAATGCACTGCTACTAATGCCGGATAATATTGAACAATTTACTGTACAGAGTAAGCTCTTTAAAATCAGGTCGTTTCGCCCTTTGAATGCTTACGGCATAAAAGTTCGTTTGGAATAAGCATGATTGATTGAATGACAGCACAAAAGAAATTTTAAAAAGTATTGAAGATCTTTCACGTATTTCCAATTTGAGAGCGTAACAAAGAGTCTAACAGTTTCTGCCAAAGTTCAGGAAATTGTACATAGTTTTTAAGTACGGAAAAGTATACTTTATTTTTCTTTCTTTTCGATAAAATATTTTCCTAAAAAATTATTTTTATTCCAGAATGTATATGCAGAGATTCGCAAAAATTGTTATGCAAGTACATAGATCAGCTTATGTTTGTTAGTGCTTAGCAGTGATAATGTTTTTATGGTTTCGCAAATTTTTCTCACGTCGCGACGGCGGATCAGAGTTTTTCCTGCGTTTCTTATCACGCCGTAGCGCGCGCGGGATGGTCGGAAAAAAGTTTTCTATGAGTGGTGGTCAAAGTTTTCGCATTTCTTTCTACTTTTCTTGCGCCGAGGAGTCTCTTTTTTCCGTTTATTTTCTTTCTGCCGGCGCAGTAATAGAACAAGGACCCTGTTTTATGGCGGCGCGCGTAGCTTCGTCGCAACCGCGGCGACGTGATAACATGCGAGCTGAAACGCAATGAATTACGTCCGGCGATAGCGTTGCGGCGCAGGGCCATTTGAAAACCACGTGTTTTGTGCTTTTATTAACAGTCGCTCTGTATGCGGCGACCGTGTTATGATGTATCGTGGCAAATTGGCGTAACTATCGAGTATGCATTGTCGCGAAAATTCGAACGGCCGATTTCGTTTCGTTGACAAATTAAAATTCAATTTGCTTTGAAGTGCTGAATGAGGTTTAAGCTTTAATATTGAATTTATAATATTCATAATTAATCATGTTAATAATGTGTTCATTATTTTCTCAAATTTATAATGAAAATTATTTAATTAATATATATTTTAGAAAAAAGTGCTAAAAGTTATATATCACATAAAAAATGTGAGAGCAGGACAAAATTTTCGAATTTTTACATGAGTAAAAATATTTTTTAATTTATTTTTTAAACATACAATTTGATGTACTTATTCATGCGCATAAACATTGTGTTTAAAGCCGATTTTATCTGTTAAATCGATGTTAAAACGTTCGTTTATTTCATTTTTTTTTATTTATCCATCTATCTATCTTTTCGTGTAGGTGTCCGAGTAGTCTCATTGTTGCTCGAAAAAGTATACGATGGTCGGTAAAAACAGTTGACCATCTTCGCGCAAGGAACGGAACGTAATTCCCGTTTTCCACTTGTTTCCGGACCCACGAAAGATCCATTTATAAGTTTCGAGCAGGATGCAGTCGGAATCCGATCAGAGAAGTGTCTTAATTTACGTAACTTTTCTCGAGAAAGAGAGTTGCTTGTGGCAAGCAAGCACGGCTGTTTGAATTCGAAATAACCGCCAGCATCGAAAAGTTCTAGCACGAAATTTTAATTATTCCGAGAAAATAGTGACGAATATTTGTTGCAGCTTAATTTACTAGTAAATATATACAAGAATGCTGATTGTGACGATTCTATTGCATTTTATAGTGAATAACTGCAAACTAATATCTTTACGTATCTTTATTACCTTGCAACGTTTTAAATTTGTAACGGTATTGTTGAATTTTGCGATAATATGCGCCGCTGCCAGAGATTTAATATATTAAAACAGAAAAATATTGCTGCAATAAATGCAACAGTTACGTTTATTCAAGTTGAAAGTTATTTTACCAAAATCATATCGAGTTATCCATAAATCGCCATGTATAGATATTTAAGAGGGATTCTGACAAATCTCGTAATAAGAGTATTTTCCAGAAGTTTGATATTACTGGATTTTGTTGTAAACAAAGTGCGTAATTGTGACGAAATAAAAAGTTGATACTTTTTACGTGAAATATCTCAATTTTCGATATATTTTATCACAGAACAGACGTCATTTAGTAACCCAAAAACAAAATTTCCTTTCTCGATAAATTTCATAATACGTATTTTCCATGTACAATTTATAATCGCGTGTTTACTCTGGATATGCGTCGGATTATGATTTGTTTTTAATCTTTTTCTCTAAACGCGCAAAGGTAGTATCAAGCTTTCGCGTCGCTCTAGCTCGGGTCACGATAAAACGGACACATTCGCTCGTCGTGAGATAAACGTCGCACGCGTTATTTTACAGCGTTAAAGATAGTTCGCCGGTTTTTTTGCTATTTTTTGCAGGGCGAATTACGTTCTGTCGTTCACGGATTACCCGTGAAAAATATCGTTAGCTGCGCATTGTGTGATAGCGGAGCGTTCGCTGAGGTTTCGTGGTGTCGATTGCGTTAGCCTAAAAAAGCATAGTATTCTTTTCTAAAGAACTGACAGTGCTGTTTCGATACGTTAGCATTCTATCACGTATTTTGAAACTATCCATGTTGGATTGATGTAACTTAATTCTTTTCACTCGTGCTTCTTAGAATCTTCGAAAAGTACAGAAATGCGGGGACAAACGCAAATTCTTGTTCGTACTATTCTTTGAAAATAAATCGATTCCGAGAACGACTGTCGAATTGTAGCGTTTCTTTGTGAAGTTATTGGAAATTTTTTATTTGACACTTTTGACAGCACGTCGACACGTTATATTACAAACTGTATTATTTTTCCTATTTCCTGTACTTCTCTGTTTTGCAAAAAGAAATTCTATAGGCAATAAAATAACGCGGATTATTTTGATTAATAATCTTTTCTACTTTTTCAACTAATCCGTATTTATCAATTTGTGAATGCATTACTGTATTTTTTAAATAAAATTACGGGTAAATTGAGATTAAATATCAATAATTTATCATAAACAATTTGATTTTGATTTGATTCGGTCCTTTCTCCACATATTGCCTAATTTAATAATGAGAGGCAAGACCTAACCTGAGAATCCATTATGTTCTAACGAGATTGCTTCGTTGTCCGATATTGCTCTCAGCAATTTGTTACTTAGGTATACGTCTAGGGAGCGTTTTCCAAAGTATTCAAGAATGAAATAGTGCGAACAAGCATGTCAGGCTGACAGCATTTAGTACCGGAACGAGATGTAAAAATGTTGCACTGAATGAGTTAGATATCCGCCGACACGTATAAAAGTACCGTCTGACTATTGGTTACTTATGTTAGTACCGTAGTGATTTATTAAGGTTTGTGACACCGTTGTGAGATTTGTGCGATGTTGACGTGCGAAGCCTTGGATGATGTCTTTATTTTCCATCACTTTTATGATTTCATCTCAATTGAACTCCATTGAACGATAACGTTTATTTCAATATATTGTCGATAAATTTTGACAATTATCGATAACAGCGCGTTGTATTTTTGAATAAGCAAGCACATTTTTATAAATATATTCTGCGAATGAAGAGAAATTGTAGCAATTTATTTTCGAACAGTACTGAAATAAACGCGCAATCGTGCGATATATTTATCGGCGCGGAATCTCTTATTTTATTACATATTTAACGTATTTCATATACGTGATGTTTATAAAAGTTACAGCAAAATGACAGTTGATAATATGGCACGCATTCTCGGATGTATTTTCTGTCCACATGAATGTTTTTGTTTGCAGAAGAGAAAATTTTCTACCTACGGATTGACATATTGATAAACTCTAAATATTCAATGGTATTATTTTGCTAATAAAACATAAAATATTAAAAATAATACATATGAAATTATTGAAATTATTTATTTTGTGTTTCGCGGATCAAAAAGTACTTAATGAATGATTAATTTAAGCAATCATTATTATTAGTATTGATTGCAATTATATAAGTATTAATATTAAAAAGCTTAAAAGAGTTTTTTTACCAAGGCAGGCCAAAAAATTTTTTTATCGCTAAAAAATTTTCATCATCGGGTAGTTGAGCGAAACAATTCGACTTCTTTTTCCAGCATTGATTGTGCACGTTAATTGCTTCCTTTATAAATCTGTATTTGTTCTACCTTTTTAGCTACATTGCATGTGCGTTATTACGCGATCGAAGATGGTTTTGCATAGTCCATTTAAAAATCTGTTTCTTTTATGCGAGAAACTCTACGGATCCTATATTCTTTGTTATGGAAGCAGCGCATCTTTTCTGTATTTTAAATTCCTAGTCATAGGTCGCATGAATTTTGCAAGGATCGAATCTCTGGAACGCGCGAACGTACGTATAAGGAGAAAAAGTCGATTTGCAATTCCGTCGCATTGATGCAGAACTCTTGACGGAGGTAAATTTTTAATATTTATTATTTATGAAAGTCAACTTAATATTTTTATTACCAGTTGATTATCGTGTTTATGATACATACATTATAAAATCGAGAGTCTCTTTTCGTATTACAAAATAAAGTAAAAAATATAAAGAAAATTTTATCATGAAAAATTTAATGTTTTTATTCGTTTATGTTTTCTAGAGGGCATTATCTTTTACCAATCTTAGTATTCTATTTTATTTTGTGAATGCAGTTCTATGTAAATAAGAGTCATTTAAACTGGTATAATTGTGTTGCGCATACTGCCTTGATATAATTTTCTTTGCATTTGCGGCCATTAAATCTTATTTAATGCGTTCCTGGAGATTATAGTACATGTTTCTTTGCATAAGAGATCCAATATACATTTACAGATTCGCATACCTTCATCTTGCATAGCACGACTGTAATACCATGTCTGTTAATGTAGCTAATCGGGCTTTACAACGATTAATCTCGCTTTAGGTCAAAACATTTTTACATTATTATGCTAATCAACTAATTTACGTGCACACATTGAAAATGTTTGCGCCACTCGATATCTTTAGACCTTCAGTGAATCATGCACCCGTTTATTTTCAACATCTAAAAATAGACGTAACGCGGCGCGTGTCTATAATAAAAAGTACCTGTAATTCCAGCTCGTTTCTGTGTGATGATGCTCGTTTGCTATTTCATTTCGATTGTGGGTAGATTTATAATTTGTGTTCAAAGTAACAACAGCGATGCAATTTATATGGCTCGGTCTATCGTAAAACAATGACGCAATTTCGTTCCTTTGTCAATATAATGTCAAATGATTTACCATTACGGTATATCATGCACAACATTCATTTCGCGCGCGCTAAATATACATTCACACACAAAATAATTTTCGTTACAAAATAATTTTTATTTGGTATAATGAGATTCTCTGCGCGTTGCGCTTAAGTAAAGCTCTATATCGTTTCGAAATATATCTAGAATCTAATATATCTATTCTTCGCACGTTCGACAGTATGTTCACAGTACCTACTTAGATACTCGGTATCATTGGTGAAGCTTTTAAGCTCTGCACACATGTGTTGTTTGCTGAAAAGAGACAGAATTTAACTTGTGCGGGTTGTTTACTCAGAATACATGCTGCGAACAATAATGTGTTATAGTCAGCAAGAATAAGGCTAGTGGATCGACCTCGATTGATTATCGAAATATTGATTTCAGTTAAGAATTTCTATTTTATGGCGTAAAGAGAAAATAAATTAAAATCTTCTTATTTACTTAGATATTTTTTTCATCATCATATATTGCTCATAGATCGGAGTGTTGCTCTTAAATGCAGCAGCACTCCGAGTTGTAGTTGAGTAGAAGTATAAGCTTTTAAAGTTGAAAACTTTAAAATATTAAAAATTTCGATATCGGAGCGTGTGTTATTGTTTTTGCAAAACATTGATTTCCTTTTTAATGATTTGTACATCTGTAATAACGTTGCATACGCTTTTGCGTTATGAAAGTCATAAATTGTATAATAAAAGTCGCATATTTATAAATTCGCCCATTGTATACATTCGGCCGCGATTTCATTGTATCTTCATTATTTTAAATTCTTTGAATTCGCGTCAATTACATTCAGCCAATATCTGCGTTGAACGATGACAGCTGGCAATATAGTTAATTGCTGAATGTCACGCCTCAACTATCATACGTGATAATATATTGCCAGACGTGCAGTTGCCACTTTCGGTGACAATTCTAATTGCAATAGACGATAGCGACAAGATATATTTATTTCATTTCATGAACTTATCCTTAAATTAAATAATTAATAGTAGAGAAATTACATATTAAGTAATTGAATAGTTGTGTACAATATTTGTTACAATAGTTGTGTACAAGTATTAACAATTAAATATATGTACATATGAATATACATATATTTAATTGTTAACTTGATTTAATATTGTAAGCACTTCTATTCACATATTATTATTGTTATTTCATAAATTAGT